TCCCTCTCCCGCCCTCCAATCTACTCACGCATAGCCACCACGTTGAGCACAGGGGAGAAGTTGGCCGCCTCCCTCCTTCCCTCCTCCCCCGTCCCGTCCTCCCTCCCTCTCTACTCACGCATAGCCAGCACGTTGAGCACAGGGGAGAAGTCGGAAGCCTCCCTCCTTCCCTCCTCCTCCCTCCTTCCCTCCTCCTCCGTCCTTTCCCTCCTCCTCCGTCCTTTCCCTCGTCCTCCGTCCCCTCCCTTCCCTCGTCCTCCGTCCCTTCCCTCCCTCCCCCCTCCCTCTCCCTCTCCTCTCTACTCACGCATAGCCAGCACGTTGAGCACAGGGGAGAAGTTGGCCACCTCCTTCCTTCCCTCGTCCTCCGTCCCTTCCCTCCCTCTCCTCTCTACTCACGCATAGCCAGCACGTTGAGCACAGGGGAGAAGTTGGCCACCTCCTTCCTTCCCTCCTCCTCCGTCCTTTCCCTCGTCCTCCGTCCCCTCCCTTCCCTCGTCCTCCGTCCCCTCCCTCCCCCCCCCTCCCCCCCTCCCTCTCTACTCACGCATAGCCAGCACGTTCAGCACAGGGGAAAAGTTGGCCGCCTCCCGTCGCCCCTGCTGTGTGTCGGACACGGATGTGGCCACACACATGTACATGCCCTCGAAGTTCTTCAGGAAGTTGTCGAAGATGAGGTCTCCCGAGGTGCTGTCGAAGCTCATGAAGCGCACCACGGGCTGCACGAGGGACATCTCGCCCGTCGACAGGTTGCTCACGTTGTACCACTTGTACCTGCGCGCGCGTGTGTGAAGAAACATAAGACTTCTGAGCGGAAGCTAAAAATTACATTTACATTGAAACGATAACGGTCTTTTAATTTTTTTTAGTTTTCTTATTTGTCCCGTGTCCTGATTTTGGTGCCAATATTTGTAGGTTACGTAAAAATGTATTGACATGGTGGAAGTTGTTACGTTTTCTTTCTTTTTTTTAACGTATGAAGGGGAATTGTTTAGTCAAGTTCTTTAGTTTTAGCAAAAGTTTTACGGTACTTGTAACACAATACGGTCATATCATTATAAGTGCCGAAGAATAGATGTGTTACAAGAGAGTAACATACACAAAAAAAAAGATGAAGGAGAGATAAGGATGATATACGTTTGATAGGAAAGAAGGAGCAAACGACACCAGAGCACCCGTCAACCACCCACTAACTGTCTTTTAATTAGTAGTGCAGTGGACAGAGCAAGCAAGGCAGGCAGAGACAATGGAGGGAGACATTTTTTAAGGTTCATCTACCTGTGAAGTCCTCCTGAAATTGCATGGGAGGAGGAGGAGGAGGAGGATGAGGAGGAGGAGGGGGAAGAAGAGGATGAGGAGGAGGAGGGGGAAGAAGAGGATGAGGAGGAGGAAAAGGAGGATGAGGAGAAGGAGGGGAAGAAGAGGAGGAGGA